TTTTTTTTTTTTTTTTTTTTTTTTTTTTTTTTTGGCGTTACGCGGGCCTCTCACTGCTGTGGCCTCTCCTGTTGCAGAGCACAGGCTCCGGATGCGCAGGCTCAGCAGCCATGGCTCACAGGCCCAGCCACTCCGCGGCATGTGGGATCCTCCCGGACCGGGGAACGAACCCATGTCCCCTGCATCGGCAGGCGGACCCTCAACCACTGCGCCACCAGGGAAGCCCTGGTATATATTTTAAAAGCAGAATCAATAGAACTTGCTGATGGATTGGTTTTGGAGTATAAGAGAGAGTGTAGATTCAAGGGTGACTCCCAGATCTTTGGGCTTGGAAGAGCTTGGCTGAACAGTTCTCACTTCGGGTCTCTCATGCAGTTTTAAGTAATAGTCAGATGTCATCTGGAGTTTCAATCATCTGAAGGCTCAACTAGATCAAACGTACAAGATGGTTCATCCACATGACTGGCAGCTGATACTGGCTGTCAGCTGGGAGCTAAGCTTGGCCACTGACTGTGGGCACCTCTATGTGGCCTCTCCAGCCTGGCAATCCCAAAGAAGTCTGATGTCTTACAAGACACCCAGCCTTCCCCAGAGAGGGCATGCCAAGAAAACCAAGTGGAAGCTGAGTGGTCTTTTCTGAACTAGCCTCAGAAATGACACAGAATCACTTCCTCTTTATTCTACTGGTTACAAGCAAGTCACAAAGTTTGACCCAAATTCAAACAGAAGGACCACCACCTTTCAAAGAGAGAAATGCCAAACAATTTGAGGATGTGTTTCAAAACCACTACACTTACAATGTCAAGTTTTTCTAGGATAAAAATTTTAAAGGTGAATGTAAGTGAATCCCTCAATTAGAACATAAGTATGAGAGACAGAAGAGAGGCCAGCTTCCTGGAGGTAATGGAATATGTGTAAACTTGGAATACAATTGGATAATCTGTGTGGGCTCAAACATGAAATCTAAGGGACTCAAGGACAGAAGTCAAGCTTGAATACCATCAGCTTAAAGTTAAGATTCATCTAAGACAACACACCGAATGGGAGAAAACATTTGCAAGTCATATATCTGATAAGGGGTTAATATCTAAAATATATGAAGAACTCATACAACTCAACAGCAAAAAAAAAAAAAAAAAAAAAACAATTTGTAAAAAAAAGGCAGATCTGAATAGGAATTTTTCCAAAGAAGACATACAGATGGCCAACAGATATATGAAAAGACCCTCAACACAACTAGTTATGAGGAAAATGCAAATCAAAATCACAGTGAGCTATCACCTCAGACCTGTTAGAATGGCTATTATCAAAAAGATAAGAGATAACAAGTGTTGGTGAGAATGTGGAGAAAAGAGAACCCTTGTGCACTACTGGTGGGAAAGTAAATCAGTGCAGCCACTATGTAAAATGGTATGGAGATTCCTCAAAAAATTAAAATTAGAACTACCATATAATCCATCAATTCAACTTCTGGGTATTTATCCAAAGAAAACAAAAACACTAACTCAAAAAGATATATGAACCCCCATGTTCATTGCAACATTACTTACAATAACCATGATCTGGAAACAACCTTAAGTGTCCATAAGTAGATAAATGGATAAAGAAAACGTGGCGCATATATATACATACATACATACATACACACACATACATATGCACACACACGTATACATACAATGGAATATTATTCAGCCATAAAAAGGAATGAAATCTTGCCATTTGTGTCAACATGGATGGGCCTTGAGGGCATTATGCTAAGGTTAATGAGTCAGACAGAGGAAGAAAAATACCATATCATCTCACTTACATGTGGAACGTAAAAGAAACAAACAATAAAAAGAGAAAACAAGCTCATAGATACAGAGAACAGATTGGTGGTTGGTGGAGGTTGCAGGGTGGTCAAAATGGGTATAGGGTGACAAAACTTATAAACTTTCAGTTATAAAGTAAGTAAGTCATGGGGATATAATGCACAGTATGTTAACTACAGTTAATAATACTGTGTTGCATATTTGAAAGTGCTAGGAGAGTATATCTTAAAAGTTCTCATCACAAGAAAAAAAATTGTGTAAATATATATAGTGATGGATGTTAAGTAGACTTATCATGGTAATCATTTTGCAGTGTATACAAATATTGAATCATTATGTTGTACACCTGAAACTGAAACAGAGCAGAACCTTATGGTCCTTGCCCCCCACCATGTCCTCAGCCTGCCTTTTGTCTGTGGAAAAACTTTAGCCAAAGAATAAGTTTAATCAGAGAAGTGAGAAAATACAGAAACAGAGGAAAACAGTCAAAGGAAACCAAATAATAATAGTTTAGTCATTAAGCATAGTCAAGGACCTTTAGTTCCTCCTTAAGGGCTATAGATAATATTCTGAGCCATATCCTGTGAGCTTTCTTATAGATACTGAAACCCTCACCAGGTGGAAGAAGTTAACTACATGATGACCAAGCTGTAGCCATGACATAAGCTGCCACAATTCTGAGAACTGGCCCCAAAGAAACGGAAACAAACCCACCCTGGAGCTGAAGATTAACCGTGCCTAACACAATCAAGATGATGCTGGTCAGACCACTGATGACCAATTTCAAGATGACTGTCAGAGCTGACTGCACTGTTTCTGCATGTAGCCCCTCCCTCAACCTATAAAAGCTCTTGCCCAATGGTTGCAGGAGGCAGGGAGTCGGCCTTTGGACAGGGGTCTGCCCTCCCTGCCGGTTGCCGGCAACCAAAATAAAGCAAACTTTCCTTTCCACCAAACTTGCCTCCTTATTGGCTTTTGAGCGGCAAGCAGCCAGATCCCACTTTTGGTTACAAAACTAACATAATGTTATATGTCAATTATGCCTAAATTAAAAAAAAAAATTCATCCACAGCTAGCAATGTTCTACTTTACTGGTAGTAACTTGCTATAAGTTGACCTTATTCAAAACACTTAATAACTATGTTATTTTTCTACCATAAAAAAAAAGAGAATGGAAATTTATTGATTTCTCACTGCACATCACCTTCCTCACAATACAGCAAGGTAAAAAAATTATAATTTACCCTTTACAAATTATAAAACTGATGAGCAAAGACATCAATAATACCTTATCTAAAGGCATGAACTGAGTGACAAAGCCTCAAAGCCCAGTCCCTTCTACTACGACACACTGACTAGCACAGTTTCTGGCACACAATGGATCCAGATTAGACACCAGTTTCCTTTCTTGACTTCCTCTAAAAAGCAGCTTAAGGTTCCATTTTTAGAGCCTAAAAAGAGAAGGCATATCTTCATATTAACTCAGCAAGGTCTCTTTCCTTCCTTGGCAGTAAGGCTTTAATAGAAGATAAGTTGAACCTAAAATTCTCAAAATGAAACTTTATCATAATCCAAGCAGAGACTCTTCTTGGTTCTATAAAAATATACTATTAAAATGTACAAAAACATTAATCATTGCCCATGGTGTCATTTCAGGTTCTAAACAAGTGGTGTTGTTCAGAAATCACACCACCAAGGCGACCACTTACTGCTAAGATGTTAACATTTAGGGAAGTAGAGGACATGAGAAGAAAATGAGTAAATTACAATCATGTCCTATGCTATTACCAAAGTGACTGAGCTTTTGGCAATAAGATTGTGGTTTTAATTTAACAAATGATTTATCTATATAGCTTCATATGAAAATGAACAAAATAGTCCCTAGCTCTTTGTGGGGCTATACAGCCATCAGTTTTCATTGCTCTTCCCTTCCAAGGACTTGTTCCACTCTTCTCAGCACCTCTCCCAACCTGTCACGTGAGGAAAGGATGGGCAATACATATCAATGGATGTCTGGGATCTAGACAAACACATTTCCACACATCTTCAAATAGAAAGCTGAGAATAAGGATTAGACTGATCAGAATCCAGATAATACAGTTGTTGGTTGGCTCTTGATGAATATTACTTCATTCTTTCATCAGGAGGATTCAAGGAAGTTAAATATTAATCATTTAGTTGTCAGTCTCTATACTAGATGTTGGAGTTACAAAGATGAGACAGATCTGTTCCTTCAAGAGATCACTAACAATGGAGGAAAGACATAATAGCATAAGTAGATTTAAAAAGATATTATTAGGGCTTCCCTGGTGGCGCAGTGGTTGAGAGTTCGCCTGCCGATGCAGGGGACACGGGTTTGTGCCCCAGTCCGGAAGATCCCACGTGCCGTGGAGCGGCTGGGCCCGTGGGCCATGATCGCTGAGCCTGCATGTCTGGAGCCTGTGCTCCACAACAGGAGAGGCCACAAACAGTGAGAGGCCCGTGTACCGCAAAAAAAAAAAAAAAAAAAAAAAAGAAGAAAAAAAAGATATTATTAATGTGCAGCAGTGGTTGAAAACTATAAGGTGCTACCTAACTGTATTTAGTGGTAAGAAAGACCTGGTTCAGGGCTTCCCTGGTGGTGCAGCGGTTACGAATCTGCCTGTCAATGCAGGGGACATGGGTCTGGGAAGATCCCACATGCCGCAGAGCAACTAAGCCCATGCACCACAACTACTGAGCCTGGGCTCTAGAGCCCGCAAGCCACAACTACTGAAGCCAGTGTGCCACAACAACTGAAGCCCGCACTCCTAGAGCCCGTGTTCCACAACAAGCGAAGCCACCGCAATGAGAAGCCTGTACGCCACAACGAAGAGTAGCCCCCGCTCACCGCAAGTAGAGAAAGCCCGTGCGCAGCAATGAAGACCCAATGCAGCCAAAAATAAAATAAATATTAAAAAAAAAAGAAAGACCTGGTTCAGATAAACCTTTTGAATTTAGGAGAAACGTGCACTAAATCTCTAAAAATGGCTGGAAATGTGCCAGGTTGACTTGGGAAGGAGAGTATTCCAGGGGGGTTAACCATCCTGTGCAAAATCCCAAAGATGAAAAAATAAACAAATAAAGGTGCTCTAAAGGAAGTGATAGTAGCTCAGCATAGCTAAGATATAAGATGAATGTTGGGACATGGCATAAGGTGATTCTGGAATCCTTGGAACCAGATTGAAAAGCTCCTAGTAAGCCATCCTAAAGGATTTGGTCTACATGGGAGCCAACAAAAGGTTTTAAACAGAGAACATGATTACGTTTGCATTTTAAAAGATCATTTGGTGTGAAGACATGGAAGGGATGACGTCAGTGGCAAGAAGACTAGCTAGGAGACCATTGCAATATCTTGGCAAAATTATGTTAGGAGTCAGTAAGAGCAAAGCAGAACTGAATGTCACAGACATGACTGAGATAAAGTGAATATGATTTGGGGATAGATTGTATGTGGTGATTGTGCAAAAGGAAAGTCTTAGATAATCTACCAGATTTCTGGCTTGCATTTCTAAGTAAATAGAGCACATCAGAGGTGAAAAACAATACCTTAATAGATGAATGTACTTTACTGGGAACTTTCTAACAGTTTTAAAGTTGAATCACATCCCAACCAGTGGTTATAAGCTAGTAACCTAAAGGCCAAATCTAGCCTACAGATGTGTTTTATTCAGCCTGCACCATTTTAGCTCAAGTATTCTGAATCTGATATAGTTGGATGATTCCACATAAAAGCATGCATAGCTGCCTTCTTTCAAAATTGTAAGACAAGGCATGGGTTCATTAGCATCTTTTTCTGAAGACAACCAGCAATACTTAAGAAGTAAGACTGCCACCTATTGGCTGGACATATACCAGCCTGTTCATTCAGATCCATTATATCCACTGTCTCCCCTCCACTGAAAGCTGCCTCATTTATCTAGGTCATCTACCTGCCTGATCCCATTAGGGATATAGATATGTGACCCCATCTCCAAGCCTAAAGCACACTGAAGCTCTCCTCACCACTAGCAACCCCCATTTCACCCCACAGTCACAAGGGGAACTTGAAGTCAGTCAAGGGTGAACTGGTACAACAATTACACCGTGGGGGTCATTGGAAGGAGGGGTGGACCTTTTAATGATGGTGTAAAGAGGCTTAAAATTCTCTTCTTCTTACCAGATCTCTTATGTGTTCCTTTGTTCTGAGATACTTGGTTGTATTAGTACAAAGAGGGAATCAGAGTGGGATTAGGAGGAAAGGACCTAAAAGAAGCTACTAGTGCTAGCCACTCTTCCAGGTCTTAAATTAAAGGACTACAAGAAATTCATGAAGTTCTCCTTGGTCACAAAGTTGATCTGGGTGATAGAGCAGATAGAAGTTTGGGCTGAACCTTGGGAAGTGTGCATTTCTCTTGCATGTACCCTTGGGTAGCTATCTTCCTGGAACAGAGTTCATAAGCTGTCAGCTATGGGAAGTGAACGAATTTTCACATTAAATTCAGTGTGAAGAATTCTCAAGAGAAAGGCAAATACAGTAAGAAAATAAACTCTCTTTGCAGAGGGAAACTGCATACTCCCTGTGGCAGATTTTAAACGGCTACAAATTCGTTGACACTCCTGGCATCAAGAGGTGGAGTCTATGTCCACTCCCCTTGAATCTGGCTGTCCCGTGACTGTTTGGGCCAACAAAGTGGAGTTAAACCTGTGCCATTTCCAGGGCTAGTCTTTAAGAAAACTGGCAGATTGGCCCTAAGAGACTGAACATACAAACAAACAATGGCCAGATCATATATAAAAACAGAATTCTGATCCACAACCTGCAGAAACCTGCCCAGGAAACCAACCCCTTATCTACAATAAACCACCCAGGAAGCCAGCCTACTATAAGTCAGATTTGTAGTTAGACTGTTATCTCTAATAATAATCCAGGAAGCTAAACAATTACTTTCGTAACAAGCAATCCAAATGGCCAGGACTCAGCTAATAACTGACAGCTTCCCTGAGTTTTATCCCTGACTCCCACTTAAGACCAAACAGATAAAGCCAAATATGCACCCCCATCCAATCATACAGGATGTTCCATTTCTAATTAGCCCACCTACAGCTTCTCCATGCCAATGGGGAATGTGACTTTAGACAGCAGATCACTTTTCATTTGGAAGAGATAGAGCACATAACACAGGACACCTAAAGTCAGTCAAGGACAAAAAGAGGAAAGGATAAATGCTACGTTTTGGTTTTTAACCATTTGGAAACATAGTCATTCCCCATCTTCACCCCATTCCCCTAACACTATTTTCTTCTTACCATGTTCCTGGCTCTTGTGTTATGTTTTTCTAGTAAGGTCTTCATTCATAGGGTCTGAAAATACAGAGGAAAGCAAAAAGCAAAAAAGCACTATTTGGAGGAACTCTACTCACAAGTCACAGCTTCCCTAAGGCTGTACTCCAAGTGACGTGAAAACCTACCATGATTTTCCAAAGTTTAGGAAGGGGATTGGGCAGCACCCAGATCACACTGCACCCACTGCATTATGCTTCATGAGGTCTCCAGGGAAGTATCCCCTAAAATGAAAAGTCCTGAAAAAGACATTTACATTCTTAGATCTTCTCTTGCTGGAAACACATATAAGTACATAAGTTCACCCAATTAAGACAGTCAATATTAGGCTGACAACTAAACTCTGATAATTTTATGATAAATTACTATCTATGAGTTTTCATATAACTAAACTTTGAGGCAACGTGCCAGATAACTGACAGAATTAACTTATTTAATACTCTCAAAGGCCCTTTAAAACAGGCATTTTACCCTCACCTTAAAGATAAGGAAACAGACTCAAAAAGGCTAGGTAACTTGCCTGACGTCATAGAGCCATAAATGGAAGAGCCGGGGGCAAACTCAGGTGGGTCAGACTCCAAAACTTTAGCAGCTGACACTGTTCCAGGTTGGCTTGTGGCCTTGTCTACTCAAGAAGGGCAACAATATAGTGGCGGGTGTGTTTTTTAGGTCAACCCCATTATGTAAACTTACCTCACAAGATTTTTTTAAAATAGGAATTGTTACCAAGTCCAAGATCGTTCTGCTCACCACAAAACAGGCCAACAAATTGGAGATGAGGTGCTGAGGCAAGGATTAATGACTTTATTCAGAAAGCCAGGCATCCGAGAAGATGGTGGACTAGCATCCTAGAGTACCATCTTATCAGGGTCTGGATGCTAGTTTCTTTTAGAGAACAGAGAGGGGGAGGAGGTGAGGAAGTAAAGTAAAAAGGTCATAAGTCTTGCAATATATCTCCTAGTTTTGGCCATCCTTGAGGGGATGTGTTAACTTCTTCTTTCCTGCAGCCATTCACAGGTGGGCAGGGTCAGGGTGTTTCCCTGTGGGCTGAACAAAGGCACTTGGGTTTAACATTCAGGCAGAGGGGTAGGGTTCCCCGAGGCAGGCAATTATGTATGCCTATATCTATAGACAGAACAAAAGCAATGGAAGGCAAAGGTCAAAGTAAAAGAAACAGATCCAACATGGAGTCAGAGTTTGTTCTTCCCTGTTAAAGAATTGCATTTTAAAAAAAAGTTAGTTGAAATATAACCATACTACACATGAATTACATATAATTCAGTGATAGTTATCTTGAGTAATAGGGGTACACTGTACACGAGCACTAGTAAAAAAGTGGGAGAAGAGCTGGTGTGCTCACCACCACTGGGGGTACCACTAAAAATGCCTGATCCAGCCTGAAGGGATTTTGCCCTAAATTGGTCAGGAAATCCCAAAGTAGAGCTGGGAAACTACAGGAAACTGTGAACACAGTTCCATACTGCGACGCTGATGAAGGAATTAAAATGCTGATGGAGAGACTAAGCCAGGCTTCACCATGAGATCAGCACTGCTTGAGGAATCAGCTTTTTCAACATAAAAACACATCACTGGTGACACGAGGTCATGCTTGAAGGCCTTTTGGAACTGTATCTCAGTAATTATTCTGGTTTTATAGAGGTTCACAGCTCAGGATAATTTTTATACTATTGTTATTTTCTGCTACCTTTTGAATATCCTCCCCCAACTTATATGTGGGCAGGAAATTACAAATAATATGCAATGTGGTATAGACAGAGTCTTGTGCAAAGCTAGATCAATAATCTCGAAGATTAGGGATGCTATTTTATTCCCAAGCTCAGATTTTAATATTTAGCATTATTAAAATGATCTCTGTTCAATTTTCATGCCAGCCTATAATATCTTCAGTGGTAGTATTGAATCTGACATACAACATATTAGCCACCTATTCACACTGTTGTTCAAGTCACTGATTAAAATGGTGACCTACACACAGTCAAGGGAACCAGCACACCAGCTAACCACCCTACAGACTGTTAGCAACCCATGAGTCAACAAGATTCAGAAACCCTTCCATCATATGGACAGACCCTGCCACCATTCCCCTGAAGGCCTCAGCCACCTCATAAATTTCCAGCAAGGTGACTGGAGTCATTAAGTGACAAAAACCTCTGAATAAGAGAAGAGGTAGACAAAGAGAAAAGAAATGTAAGAGAAGCTAATGCTGACAAGGAAGAAAAACATGGATTGTTTTTTTTGTCCTTTTATTATGCTTCAGAGAGTATTTGATACAGGGCAGCATTTCCCTCACTGTGTTCCCTAATAATACATGTTCTTCAAAAGAAGAATTCCAAGGGGAAAAACATTTAGGAAACCCTGGTTAGACAAGGGTCTTAGGTACAGCACAGCTTCTCAGAGTCAGAGCCTTTAATAGTCTAATGCACATTGTACCTCCAAGAGAATTGTGTGTGCTTTCCCTAACGTCCGAACACTATAACTTATTTCTCACAGAGTACCTATTAATACCCTATATCCCTGATGGTATGAAGATGAGCAAAAAGGAGACTTTATCATGAAGATGGGGACACAGCAATGAGGGTAATGGGATGACAGATCCATGAACAAACAATTAGAATACAATGTGACAAGAGCCATGGGAAAACCCTATGTAGATACAAGTGATTTTAGTAGAACAAATGACTTCAGGGGAAGTCACATATAAGCGATGACATTTCAGGAAGATCTTACAGTATATATAGGAGAGCTTGTTGGGCAGAGAAGAAATACAGCAGAGGAAACAGCATGTGCAATGACATGAGATCAAGAGTGAGGGTGGTATGATCAAGGACAGTAGTTAACATTCAAAGGGACAATCCCATAAGAGACAGTTCGTAGAAGAGGAGGCTACAAAAGTGGATTCCCGTCTGATTTCAAGGTGGCTTGTGGGCCCAAATTTTAAATAATTTGAATTTATTCTATAGGCAAAAGAGACGCCACAAGCTTTAAGGCAGGGAAATGACATGATAAGGTTTGTTTATAAGAAGATGAACCTGGCAGCAGTATAGAAGGGATAGTAGGAAGATATCCTGGTGGTAGAGAAAGACTGATTACAAAGCTGCTGGAAATGGTCAAGATGCAAGGTGACCAGGGTCAAAATCAGATCAGTAGTGCTAGGACAGAAGAGGGCTGGGTCCAGGAGACAAGTCTGCAGTAGGACTGACAGGATAGGATGTGGTGGTCATCTGTGGATGAGGGCGGGAAAAAGGGGGAGAAATGAAGAAGTTCTTAGCCTGAGACACTCAAGAACGATGATGTTACTGATATGACAGTAGACAACAGGAGAAAAGATAATTCTCATTATATATTATAATGGAATCATTTTGAACCTCTTAGGTTTCAGATGACAGGGATATCTAAATACGTGAAGAGATCATATAGGCAGTGAGATATAACGATCTAGAAAAAAAAAGTGCAAGTTTGAGCATGTTCTGCAGAGAGATAGTAGTGTTTTTATAGGAGTGAACACACGGTGTATGGCACGTGTCTGATATTCCAGGGTAATAACAATGATAAAAAGAGAAAAGTAGACCCCTCCTCCCAACTTGGGATAACTAAATGTTTGCACCTCCAATGTCCTCTCTGTTCTCATTTACCACAGTACTTCAAAGACTACTAGTAGTGATTTAATTATCTCATAGGCAGGTTTCTTCAATACTCAGAGATGGAATTCACAGTAACCAATGAGGTCACATTAAATCCTAGGTGGGCACACTCTTTTTTTACACTCTTCACCTCTCTTGGATTTCAGAGCCCTCTTACATATGCATATTCTATCACTCTCAGTTCAAGGATCACTGCTCTTCAGCAAATATATATATCAAGCATTGTTAAGTCACCACAGCAGACACAAGAACGTATAAGGGATGACAGATGTATACAAGGAACGTGTGATTTCCAAAGAGACTCTTCTGTAAAATTTCTGGTAGAAAGGACAAATATTAATCTAAATCTGGAAGTTGCTAATATAAGCAGAAATGAGTACTTAAAGAAGTTGTGAAATAAACACTAGAGAAAGAAAGGTGGGGATAAGGGTGGATCAGAATATGACTGTGAATGAATTAGACCATCTCATAAAGGATGGTGCCTTCTGAGAATGAAGCTTTCGTTGCTATAAAACGGCCACTCTCCTGACCTTCGTTCGGCACCCTGCCAGCTCCTTCAGTCCACACCCTAACTTGTACTTTTGGCAAACTACGTAAGAAAAAAATCTATCCAACTATTCCTACTTAGTATTACCCAAGATGGAAATCTAGGAATGTGCTCTAAGGCATAATACCACTGGGAGCTTAGCTTTTTTTCTTTATTTTATGTTCCCTATTATCATAAGATTCCATATAGAGAGGAAACTAAGGACAGAAATGTACCTTTTCTGAGATTACTCAGTACTCTCTTTGCAGTGCTGCATTGTACAGCCCTAAGACATGGGAGGCCATAAGAGGGTCAGCATTATTGACAGTCTCTACTATTTTCAGAGAGCTTTATCTAAATGTCATACAGCTCTTACTGCCTCCTGCACTGTTGAATCTAAAGATGCAGGGAATTCTTGTGTCCTCCTACAACCTTTGGGATATATGATAATTTAGACAAGTCTTCAGTGAGATAGAAGCTGATCTTAGAAGACCAATCCCATGACTCTCTATTATCTAGATTAATGATAGCTAAATTCTAATTCAATGATTCATCTAATCCTAATTCAATGATTCCATTTTTTCAGGTAATATTTATTCAGTTCTACCATTGAACAGGTGCTTTCATATATGTTGGAGATACAAAGATGAATAAGCTGTAGAGATACAAAAGTCCGTAAACTAGCCTCACAAAGATCACATACCACATGAGACAATCCCATAAAATGCTAACTATAATTTAGTATATTACATGATGTGTAGAATGAAAAGGACACAGTATGAACAGTGTGCTAAGGATAAATGAAGGAAGGAGATCCTACACAGATTAATTTGTTCAATTAATTTGTATTTTTTGTACAATCATGCAACAGATATTAATAAGTGCCTACTCTAAGCCAGAATCTATTCTAGGTTTGGGGTTTACTGCAGATGGCAAAACAGATAAAATCACTCTCTCAAAGAGCTTATTCTTCTGCGGGAGATAGGTACTACACAAATTTCAAATGGTAATAAATACTGTAAAGAAATAAATGTGTCAGAGTATCTAGCAGGAAGGAGAGTTACTCTGAGGAGGCATCATCTGAGCACAGACCAGAATTACAAACAGAAGTCA